AAAGGAAAGCATAGAAGCCAAAAATACCAAGGATTAAGGACTTACATCTGTTTTTACAGGCAGTGATTCTCGCTTTGTATCTTTGTCGTTCTCTTGTTGAAGTCGAGAATTTTCTCCAGAACATCCCACAGCGTACACTCGGGCTGCATTTGWATCATCAACGTTAATTTTTACAGGATCGTGGACCTGAAAGTTGTCATTTCTCCTACTCTTACCAAAGAGTAAGTCGAAGATGTCGTTCGTGAGGTACTGGTCTTTTGCAAASGGTTCTCCTTTGTCTGATAATCGTTTGAGCAGTGAAGGATCTAGTACATCTTTAGTAGCTGGGCTACATCGATGTAGGTCTTCAAAGGTTCGGTCGTGAAGTTTTTCGTGGCTTGGATCTTGAAGATCGACTCCAAACGACCTGATGCTCAACTTATCAAGTTGAACTGGAGAGACCGCATTTCTTCTGATGATGCTTTCTGTCGGTGATGGCGGCGGAAGCGGMGTGTTGGCGGGGCCTGATCGCGCGTCCCACCAGGTGGTCAACATCGTTTTCAACGTTACGAAAAATGTCAAAATCATTAAAACATTTTCTGCTAATGCCGGCATCTCTGTTTTAAATTCTCTTCATTAATATACTTTAGAGGTCCTCCGTCAAGAAAACCCGAACACTCGAAGAGCGCTCCYCAAGTGTTCTAATTGCTCATTAACCAATTCTCTTTATTGACGCGCCTTCCTAATTCGTTTACGACTATGACGTCATTTATTTATCAAAAGTAGTTGCTCAGTCATTTCAGAGATTTAATTTTAAAGACTTATTTGATAGAAACTTAAAAGATTTTATCAAGTWAGCAGTATTTTTGATTTAATAATTGTTTTGCTAAGGGCTTTATCATGCACATGCSCAATTTTAAGTTATTTTGTGAACGCTGACGCCCGCAGTCATAATTTGGTCAGCGGCAGCTAGTTAGGTATGTTTTCTTCCTTCTTCACAATTAAATCTTATTGAAGTCAATTCAACATTCCCAACGGGTTCGCACTGCTATTGGAATTCCTGGAAAACTTCTTGAATTTCGAAATTTCCTTCCAAGGCCCTGAAAAAAACTCATTGAAAATTGTCTATTTGTATTAGGTTAAATGTTAGAAAATAAAAATAATAAATGTGTTTTCTCTACCAAGATTTAGTAAGACGCTTGTTCTAAAGGAAAATTAAGGAGACACTCTCTCTCCGATATTTATTGTATTTACTTGTGTTAAAAATATTAAAGATTATGCTTTGTTTTAGCGATGGATGTGCGATGAAATCAGTCTCCGATCTTGTCTGACCGAGCTTAAGGAACAAGCGGACAGCGGTCGTCATAATTACTATGCTGATGTTTTCATCCAATTACGTCATTACCTATCCCAACATCACTCAGAAATCCTCATGGTTGATGACCGTGAGTTTCATTCTCCTATCAGTGGACTGGGAAAGACCTTTGCTGAATTGCAGGACGAAACTAGTCAACGAGAATACCAGGTATTTATCAGTATTGTTATATTGAACCTGAAACAACCTCTGTGCTGAACTAAGTCAGGACACGGCTAACTCACAGTTCGAACCTGCATGAAACAACCTCTGGGCTGATCTAAGTCAGGGCGTGGCTAACTCACAGATCAAACCCTGAAACAACCTCTAGGCTGACCTAAGTCAGGGCACGGCTAGCACACAGATCGAACCCTGAAACAACCTCTGGGCTGATCAAAGTCAAGGCACGGCTAGCACACAGATCGAACCCTGAAACAACCTCTGGGCTGATATAAGTCAGGGCATGGCTAACACACAGATCGAACCCTGAAACAACCTCTGCGGGGCTGATCTAAGTCAGGGCATGGCTAACACACAGATCGAACCCTGAAACAACCTCTGCGGGGCTGATCTAAGTCAGGGCATGGCTAACTAACAGATCGAACCCTGAAACAACCTCTAGGCTGATCAAAGTCAAGGCAAGGCTAACTAACAGATCAAACCTTGAAACAACCTGTGGGCTGACCAAAGTCAGGGCATGGCTAACTCACAGATCGAACCCTGTAACAACCTCTAGGCTGATCTATAAGTCAGGGCACGGTTAACTCAAATAACGGAATCATTGGAATTTAGCGTGTTGGGTTCCCGAAGATAGGAAAGTCAGATTTGAAAATCACCTGAAAAAAGAAAAAGAAAAGAAAAAAGATGGAAAAATAAAACACTGATGTCAGTCGAGTGCAGTAATATATTGTTTGCACTCTACCCGACTTTTGTTGTGAATTGACTCTTTCCACGCTAGCGTGAAATTTTAAGATAAATTTGATTTATCGGAAAATTGACTAGGTTTATTATAAAATTGTCACATTGCCGGACTCATTTTTCGGATAAATCAAATATTTAAAATTTTGCGCTAAGCGTAAAAGGGTCATCTTATTCAAACTCAGTATCTTTTGTTTTGAAGGAATATTTTGGTAAATACGAGATTGGGCGCGAATACCTTTATGATAATGGCCAAGAAGAAGAAACACAAGATGGAAATGGGAGAGAAGAGCAGAGTCAACAGGAAAAACGGTTAGAAAGCAAAGAATGGATCAAACAAGTGAAAGAAGCAAGAAAGAAGAGAAATTTAGACTATTGAGCAAATTGTATTTAAAGGGGCACTTGGATGAAAATGGATAAAAATTGGAAATGACGTTAAATTTAGTTAAAAGTATCTATATGGCCCCAATAGTAGCCAAGCAACATATTTTCTTCACAGTAAAATGTGTCGGATAAAAATCATCAATTTTATTTAGCACATAATCATAATAGAATCAAATTATCTACAAATACTTCAATTATTCGGACTTTGAAAAATTGGGGCGTTTTCATCCAAGTGCCCCTTTAAAAAAAGTGTGAATGATATAAATTTTGAGAAAGTTACAGAGGGAGAATGGGGTGAAAGATGATAAAAGAAATGAATTAACCGCTTATCCGTACTTTTGCTTTATAATTCAGAGAAAATCCATTGCGAGTCGTTAGCTTTAATTAAATATTGGAAATACTTGAAATCTCTTATTTCCATTTTGTATGGAAAATAGAGGATATTACATGGACACGCGGAGATACGAAATTTATCTTCGAGTGTTGAAAACGGATCTCTCACGAGTGAGCGCAGCGAACAAGTGAGAGATTTTCAACACGAGAAGATAAATTTCGTATCTCCAAGCGCCATGTAATATTCTGTTTATTATATAATTATCCATAAAATCAACTTAACAAGCTTTTTATTATCAAAAAAGCTTTTATTTATAAACTAATAGCTCAAATACACATGGTAACGATATTTTCATATGTGAAAATATCAGTTTTTCAAAAAGGAGTAATATAGGTATTTTATGGATAATTTATCATAAATGCCAGTATCAAATTGATCGATTTGTTAATAATAACAGCAAGAGATGAGGCCATAAACGGAGCTGCATATTTTTGAAGTCAGTATAAGAAATATTATCTAGATCGGTTTTTTTTTTTTAGTTTTATTTAGATAAAACTGCCTGATACGCTTTATTGACGTGTGTTGTGCTGTGCTGTACGCTGAAAGTTTTAAAGAAGGAGTTATACACTTATTTCAATAAAGTTAGTCACCAAAAACCTAGAAAGCTGAGATCACTGAGCATCATGGGAAACTTTTCATATCAAGGAAGCATATATATACAAAGCTTTTTGATACAAACTGCAGCTCGATGATGATCAGAAGAGGTGTGACTGTAACCGGTAAAAGATCTCAAGTCCATGAACAGTTATCAAGCGGTTAAACGTGTAAAATGAATCTAACCATAATCCTTGTCGGCCTCAGCTTTATAGCTTTTCAGGTGACTAACTTTATTGAAATAAGTGTATAAGGTATGAAGTGTATACTGAATTGAAATAATCTCAATATGATAAATTTGGGCTAATTTGAACAAATTATTTTAAATAAAAATCAAGATTCAAAAATTTACAAATGGCAAGATTCTTAGTATAAGAGGTACAATCGATCATAAGATCACGTATCTGAGATATTATTAGTAATTTAGTGATCGATGAGTTTGTTGCTTACGAGTTTTCCATAGAGAGAGAGAGGAGAGGAGAGGAGGGGGGATAATAAATTAAAAATGAATTAACCATCTCGTACTCACCTCAGAAGCAAAGTACCAATTAAATCTTCATTCGCTTCCTGTCCATCACGAGGATGAAGATAATATGTATGTTTGACCACACTTATGAATCAAGTGATTTTAATCACTTGAAATACCATATTGAAATACCATATTCTAATTAAAGAGCAACTAGTGAAGTACATTATGTAACTAGTGAATGTCCATGGCGATACTACGTTATGTAACTAGTAAGTAAGTGTCAACAATTGGTGTTTTTTTCAAAAATAATTATTTCAGCTCAATACCATGATTTCATTTCAAGAGTCTGTTTGCTTTGTCAAAAAATTCAATTACCAAAAAAGCAAAGAAAGAGAAAATTAGAATCAAAACGGATAAAAGAAAAAAAAACCAGTGGGAAAGTAAAAAAGAAACGAGAGAGAAAAGAGGTGATCAAAGCAAAAAAAAGAAAAAGTTAATAAAGAGAAGAGTACAAGAAGATAGTACATAACGGTTTGAAAATTCCCATCTGTCACTCGCAACTTTTTGGGGGGTTCCCTACGCCTGTTTCATCATTTTTCTATACATGTATATCTAGTTTGAAAATTAAAGATATCAAACTATGAACCTCTTGCCATTAATGTACCAAGCCACACTTGCACTTGCACCTTAAAACAACTATGTGAGATCACTGAGGATCAAACTATAGACCTCTTGCTTAGCAGGCAGCATTCTAACCAACCAAGCCACCCTTGCACTTGCACCTTAAAACAAGTGTGTGAGGTCACTGAGGATCAAACTATGAACCTCCTTGCCTAGCAGGCAACACACTAACCAACCAAGCCATACTTGCTCCTTGAAACAAGTGTGTGAGGTCACTGAGGATCAAACTATATGGACCTCATTGCCTAGCAGGCAGCACATTAACCAACGAAGCCATACTTGCTCCTTGAAACGAGTGTGTGAGGTCACTGAGGATCAAACTATGGACCTCTTGCTTAGCAGGCAGCACTCTCACCAACCAAGCCACCCTTGCACTTGCACCTTAAAACAAGTGTGTGAGGTCACTGAGGATCAAACTATAGACCTCTTGCTTAGCAGACAGCACACTAACCAACCAAGCCACACTTGCTCCTTAAAATAAGTGTGTGAAGTCACTGAGGATCAACCTATAGACCTCTTGCTTAGCAGACAGCACACTAACAAACCAAGCCACACTTGCACCTTAAAACAAGTGTGTGAGGTCACTGAGGATCAAGTTATAGACCTCTTGCTTAGCAGACAGCACACTAACCAACCAAGCCACACTTGCACCTTAAAACAAGTGTGTGAGGTCACTGAGGATAAAACTATCGACTTCTTGCTTCTTGAACGTGCAAAACCATACCTTAGCAAACCAAGCCACACTTGCTCTTTAAAAGAATTAAGTGTGTGAAGTCGCTAAGGATCAAACTATAGACCTCTTGCTTAAAAGAACGTGCAAATTATCGTGTTTTGTGAGTGGCGAGCGAGGGAGCAATTATTTGCCGGTGCCGAACGCAGAGGCACATATTTGCTGGCAAGATGTTAACAAATGACGCTATTTTGTGATTTACCGAGTTCAAGAATTGTTTTATCTTTCAAATTCTTTTTTCATTTTCTTTTTGCTTTTTTCTTTCTGCTGTTTTTTCTATCTATCAAACATTCCAAGTCAAAGCGATGTTGACAATTGCAACGTTACTGCGCATGAGTAGACTGTTACATTTGCAACAAAACGGGTTTGCATTGTAATGCGCATGAGCAGATTATTATTTAAAGGCAATTATTTGCATTTATCTAGCCTAACCAAAATGACAGAAAAAATAATTTTAGCAATAATAACCATTATTCGTATTTACTTTTCTTTATTAAATGGGGGAAACTTCTGAGATGTTGTGGTTCTGTTGACAAAGGGATTTATTAGTTGATCCTACAACGACGTCAATTCTTTTACTGCTAACAGTAATAAAACAGTTTCAATTTAGAAACTGTATCAAAACTAACAAAAGTGTTTTTTTCGTATTTACTTAACTTATTGGTTTTTAATAACACGGAGAAAGATGTTGTTTTGTTGACAAAGAAGATTTATTCAATGGCGAGGTTTACTCAGCTGTGCTAAGTTGAAAAGTATAAAAGCGTGTCGCTTTGCAGGGATTAACTATCTCGGTATTCAACTGAAGTGACCCAGTAGAGCTAACAACTGTGAACGGTATCATTGCAAGAGTACTACGAACTAGTAAGTAAGAGAGGGGTAGGCCTGGGAAAACTGTCTTCCTGGAGGAGACTATTGGAACCGTAGTGCATGGTTTATTTAGCATCACAGACAAATTGTACATTGAACATTTATAACAAATTCTTAACATATTCACGGATGCACGTTATTTACAATAACCATAAAGGCTAACCTAGTTAAATAGCTATTACATTTGATCATGACCTGGTAACTGAACTGACTTAAGAAATGTACAAAAAGGCGGTGAATATATATTAGCGATCAAAGAAGTACTATAAAATCACTTTTATTTAAGTGTCTAGTCGTTCTAGCGCTTTCGCACTAATTGGGGACACTTTTCGCTCACACGCACTACCACTACATTAAATGTTTTATGCACACAACTCAACTCACATGTTGATTTTTACGGAGGGAGGAAACCGGAGAACCCGGAGAAAACCCTCCTAGCATAGGAGAGAACAACACATCAAACAAACTCAATTCAAATGTGGCGACCCCAGGGCTCGAACCAGCGACCCGACCCGTTGGACGACGAACGAAAGACGATGCGTTAACCGCGAACGCCACCCATGCTACCCATGCTACCCATGTTGTTCTTTCCCCTACCTTGGGGTTTTTTTCCTGATTATAGTGGTATACGTATTGCGTGTGGAGCGTGAAGAGTCTTTCTGAGGGGCAATGAAAGTAATGAAATGAATGTTTTCATATTGAAGTTTTTTATGTACTTTATTGATCGGGAAAATGTTCAAAAACTTATTCCTGGAAATGTTCAAAAGTTGTAAAAAGAGTTCTAAGTTATCCTGAATATAGCTGAAATACAGCTGAACTGGAGCCATCATGCATGGAGTGCTTTTCATGAACAAAGTCCATTAGAAAAATATATAAACTTTCTTTCTTTTGACTACAGATCAATACATACTTGTTATTTTGTCATGTTAGAAAGATGATCAAGTTAATTTTCCTGGCATTGTGTTTGGTCGCCGGTGCCTCTGCCGTCGTGCCATGTAAGTATGTAGTTGACACGTTTACGTTAAAACCACATAAAAAATCTTTCTCAGATATAAGTGCCGGACATATGTATATAAGAATATTGCTATGAATTTTGTCAAGAAAGTCTTTAACGAAAAAAGCGCTCGAGTTGTTTGTGGTGCTTAGCTCGTACGTACGTGTGACAACTTGATGTTCCAAGCGGCATAGGTCAGGATTGCACTGTGTTTTTGCTGGCGTTTTCTGGTCGTTTGCGTTATTTATCACACCACTATCGATCTCTATGTTGAATATACAAAATTGGCACAACAAGGCCTTTTAAATTAAATTGCCTTATAACTAGTTATTGGTTGGAGAGTTTTCCAATTTTTCTAGGGTTTCTTTTTATGGGGGACAAGATGTTTATCAGTTTTCATCTCTCTTGAACTTTCCAGGGGCGAGCAATCCAGTCCTTCCTGGATATCCCGTGATTTTTGTATCATGGAGCAGTTGGTCATATTTCTGTGACACCCTTTACAAAGCAGAGAAGCAGTGCTTTGARGACTGTATGAATGCAAACGGCAAGGGGAGCTATATCAATCAGGCAAACAGTGTTGCCAGTACCTGTCCAGGAAACTTACCACATTGTGTAAGTAGATACACAACCCCCACTCCCTCTCTCTCTCTCAACTTTCGGAGGCAGAAGGTAAACTACATTATTTAGGAAAGTCCTTTTGACAAATAGTTGTCTTGAACTTAGACATTTGTTTAGCCCATTTCAGATCATTTGTCTCCCTCATCAATGCGACCCGGGTTCGAGTCCCACCGGGCTCGGTGTCGTATGTGAGTAGATTTGTTTGGTTCTCTCCTGTGATTGTAAGGTTTTTCACCAGGTTCTCCTGTTTTTCCTCCCTCACAAAAATCAACGCCTAATTTCTAGTTCTATCAAGTGAGTTGCAAAAGCTGATAGGCTCTCTGTCCACCATGTCCAATTAAATTTACATTTAGTTTAGAAAACAGTACGCTCAAGCTAGAGAGAAATTAAAAAAAAAAGTTCGTTGGAATACTAATATTAATAGATATTTTTCTCTTTTTGTTTTTTTAAACCTCATGCAGAGAGTTCCGTGGAGGCAGACCTCATGTCAGTGTGCAAAACGTTGCGAATGCAAACTTGCACGTTGTTATAATGCCAACTGCCATTTCTGTCGTCAATAAAGACATCAATGCAACTGACTGTGCCTGAACACGAAACGTAGCTGTAGTTTAGTATACCAACTCTTGGTGAATCCAAATAAAGAGCCAAATTTCAAAGTCGTTATTTGTTTTTGTTTCTGTTTTTTGAATCTTGTAACTGAATATTAGCATGCATGGAAAGTGCAGTGAATCGCTATGCCACACATAGATTTCTAGGTATTGACAGTTGCAGAATGTGCAATTCATCGGGATTCGAACCCAGCCCGACAGATATAGACTGCGATTTCAACGCAGCGCCTTTGGCCCGCTTTAAAAGCATGTTGGGCGGTAACCCTATTACAAGTGTTAACCCATCAGCTAGGGTCAATTTAATCGATAGCTGGGCTTTAAATATAAAAAAATATAGCTAGGGAAACCCTAGTGCCTGGGGTAACTTTACGAAAAAAATGTCACCAAACAAAACAGTACGTAAATCGCAAGATATATTTGCGGTAATTTTGTCTTCGACAAGCCAGAAGTTCGCTAAAGCAAGAAGCTTTTTTTAAAAAAATTCGACATGACTTAACCTGTCGGCGTCCTCTTGCCGTTTATAATCGTTTTCGCTCACCCACATTAATAAAGTTTATTTTGTGCAGTACTAAAACGTATAGATACAAAAAATCTATGACCTGTATAGGGCGCACAACGTAACCTATACAGTCTAAAAGGAAACTAACTACAATATATTTAAATAGATGTCCCTATAACATCATTGTCTTTAAAACGTAAGATGTACTTGTAGAAAACAGCCAAGAGAAGGTTCAAACCCAACGTTTAATAACATCAGCCAGCATGTATGGACCATGTGCAATACCACTACCTAAATGTTCTTGGGGACACGATGACTGTGATTATAGAGGGGAACTAACTAATATGATGAAACACAAAGAAATAATTGAAAACGTAGCCCTGCCGGTTCTATTAATTTTCTACGTTTGGCGTTTTGGGCATAATGCTTTCAAAAAGAGGAAGGTCTTGCTAGAGAAGAGGAAATATTAGTATATAGAGTCAGGATGGCCGASCGGTCTAAGGCGCTGCGTTCAGGTCGCAGTCTACATCTGTAGGCGTGGGTTCGAATCCCACTTCTGACAATTATGTTTTTGAACAAAAATTCAAAATAACAGAAGAGAAAAGTCGTGCTAGAGAAGAATAGTTGTAAATATGTAGAGTCAGGATGGCCGAGCGGTTTAAGGCGTTGCGTTCAGGTCGCAGTCTACATCTGTATGCGTGGGTTCGAATCCCACTTCTGACAATTCTTTTTCTAAAGCAACATTCAAATAGACTGTTTTACTGATACGACGGCCATCTTGAATTCTATATTCTTTTAAAGTAGGATGCTGAGGGAGCAAATATTGGAAAAAGTATACACTGTATAGCTCAAGGTGTCTTTTTATATTACTTTACGCTTTTCAATGAGAAGCACATCTAAAAAGAATTACATCGATCCTGCATTCATTGCTATACCTCCCTAGTTACTCTTGCTACGTACGGACATGTGATATACACCATGAAACCGATTGCTGAAAATTGTAAATGTCTGTCTTAGAATCAATTCATTGTATAGGTACATTGAGAGAAAAATCGATATCTACTAAAATATCTTAAGAATTCGAGTTTGTTGGTCGGACATTCTGTATTCCATTGGGAAAACTACCCATTGTTTGGGTGGACACTCAAGTATAGACGGGATCGGAGTATTGAAGTTGCTTGTAGTTATGATATAACATGTATGTGAAACAATTGTTAAGAGGGTTACTAACCGAGCATGACGCAACCCCGCCCCTCTATGTTTTATAAACTTTGTAAGTTTGTTCCCATTAACCTTCCGCTGAAGCCAGGGGCGATACGGAGAGTAGCTATCGTCACGTAGATCAGTATCAGTCAGTATCAGTGTCATTCCGCTATTTCCAACTATAAGTTGATCAGCAGGGACTATATAGTCTACACAGAGCCAAAGTTCTGATGTAGTAGTCCTTTTANGTGGACGTGGTTAATTGATATGGATCAAGTATCGCGTGAAGAAACGAAAATCTTATAAATGGAATATTACAAACAATGACAAAGGTGAAAAAAAATTATGTTCCAAGTTAATAATGATTTTTTACAAACCATTCGTCTAAATTGTGTAAGTTTTTAATAGAAACTGTAGATGTACAACTGAATGATGAACATGGAGGACAGTGTTTGTCCTTGACTAAAGGACGGTACAGAGATTTATAAGATTCATTGAGTTGATTAATGCAAGCAACTGAAGACGTGTGCCAAATAAATAAGTAAGTAAAATAAGGTAAATATTTATCCTTTGGCTTGTTTTAGTCGATGGCTTGTGGGCTTGTACGAGCACTCCTGTCAAGGCAAGGCAAAGGAAAACAAAAATAATAAGATCTAAGTCGCGCCTTGTGTTTCTGCTGTTTTTTTTTTAAAAAAAAAGTCCGCATCAGTAAATACTAGCATGAAATCGTGTGCCTCGCTATGAAAAATTCTATATTTTTTTGATTTGAGTTTTCTTGTGTTTTTGCCTTTTTTATATGCTTGGGGACACGATATATGACTGTGATTATATTCATGAAAAGATAAAACGTTAGTGTATATATATTGTCAGGATGGCCGAGCGGTCTAAGGCGCTGCGTTCAGGTCGCAGTCTACATCTGTATGCGTGGGTTCGAATCCCACTTCTGACAATTCTTTTTCTAAAGCAACATTCAAATAGACTGTTTTACTGATACGACGGCCATCTTGAATTCTATATTCTTTTMAAGTAGGATGCTGAGGGAGCAAATATTGGAAAAAGTATACACTGTACAGCTCAAGGTGTCTTTTTATATTACTTTACGCTTTTCAATGAAAAGCACATCTAAAAAGAATTACATCGATCCTGCATTCATTGCTATACCTCCCTAGTTATTCTTGCTACGTAGGACATGTGATATACAGCATGCAAGYGATTGCTGAAAATTGTAAATGTCTGTCTTAGGATCAATGCATTCAAAAAAATCCCATTCATTCGAGTTTGTTGGTCGGACATTCTGWATCCCATTGGGAAAATTACCCATTGTTTGGATAGACACTCAAGCATAGCCGGGATCGGAGTATTGAAGTTGCTGGTAGGTATTGTTAACATCTATGCGAAACAAATGTGAAGAGGGCAACTTACTGACTATGAAGTAACCCCGACATGCACTATATGTTTTATAAACTTTGTAAGTTTGTTTCCATTAACCCTCCGCTGAAGCCAGGGGCGATACGGAGAGTAGCTATCGTCATGTAGACACCCGACAGAGATCGTTGGGGTAGGGTAGGTGGGTTACATCGCCTGCTGTTCCGGTTTCGTGTTTGCCGAGAAGTGTCACTTTCTATCTTAGGAGTGGTTAATATACAGGCCTCTCTCCAATGGGGGAGAGCCATGAGATATTCTCACGCTCTCTTAATCCGATAATCACGGACCCATGACTTGCATACATAACTTAGTAATATCCAAATGACTTTGAATAGTGATGTAAGCACAGAATATCCTATCACTCAGCACTCTCAACGTCACGTCCCAAATCTTCCCATGAAACTAATATTTTCGTTAATCATACCTTGAGTCTACACCACCCTGTTGTCTTCTGGCTTTACTAAACAGGACCAAATCATCGAACAAAAACACACGTCGCTGATGCTTCTTCTTTCCTGACCACACGATGAAATTATCTTGACGAAGGAGACGACCTTGTTCGTTGACGTTAACCTGAGAAATACGTACAGCTATATACAAATATTGATGAATGAAACTCTTTGACAGGCTGCAATGACAGGAAAACCATTGTCCGTCATGTCCTGTAAACCAGAGAGTATTCTATTGCTTGGTATCAATCAGCTGATCGAGCGAATCTCATGAATCTCGTTACCAGCCTACAATGACAGGAAAACACTGTCCGTCATGTGCTATCAATCAGAGATGATTACTTGGTATGAAACAGCAGAATGAATTTTATGAATCAAGAATACAACGACAGGCAAACACTGCATGTCCTCTAAGCTCATTCATGGTCATTTATCCATGTACATTTCAATTGAAAACCGTTGCGGGAAATGACGTCATTAATACAATCTATTTCAATACAATGAATCATAATCGTTGTGTGGACATTAGGAGTAGTATATAATGCTCACGATAATGAACTTACGTCACAGTTACGTAACGACTCCATGGCAAGCAGATCATTGCCGTGTCTGAGCTGAAATCGAACCATGTTTTGCGCGTCCTTCACAACACGACAATCATATCAATCCGTTCAAATGTTTTTAATGGACTCAAACAATCCAAGGATGATTAAGTTGCTTCCTTTCATTTTATTTTTTGGCACACGGTTTTATTTTGTATTTAATCAACTCAATGAATCTTATGAATATCTGTACCGTCCTTTAGTGAAGTGCAAACACTGTCATCAAGTATGTGCATATGATTATGCGGGGTATTCTATAAGTATACCTAAACGGAGTACAATTTCTATTAAAAACTTACACACTTGCTGACTGAATCAAAGCTTGGTTTAAAAATTATGTTTGGGATTTCGTTCACGAAAATACTTAAGAACAAAGAAATACAATAGAATAACAGGATTCTTTTATCTCGACCTTAGTGCACGCTTTTTGAATAAATAAGTATAAGTATATAAGTACGGAAACGCAAGTTACACCGGCTACCGGGTAAGTTATACCGTTTCTAAATTCATCGCTTTTTTCTTTAGATAGTAACGTTTTGTTTCACAATTATATCTAGATTTCGAACAAGCAAAAGTAACAGAAGATATTCATGTTAAATGATTAGATGATTAAAGCTCTGAGACCGTAGCCGTCAAGTAATTTCGTGTATTTTGAAACAATGTTTTTTGGAAGATAAACAAAAATTTCTCCTTTGTAGATGCTGGTAATGACCATTTTTAACAGATTTTCGTTTCTCCTTCTCCTTCTCCTTCTCCTTCATCTTCCATTCCTTCCTTTTTTATTCATTAGAACGGTTCTTGAATTCCTTCGTTTATGTGCTGATGATTCCGTACCAGTTCTCTTAACCTCTCGATCCATCAATTAACCTGCGC